CTGGCAGAGGATCTGTGGAACCAGGCCAGCTCCCCCCTCTCCCTGCTGGTACAGCCCAGCCCAGCTCCACATACCCCTGCCAGCCTGTTCCCTGCTCCGGGCCGCACCAGTGCTGGCCCTGGGACGTTGGTCCCAAGACATTGGGACATTGGTCCCAAGATGGTGACCAGGGGGCAGGGCACCTTTCAAGGGGCGAGTCTACCCATGTGGCCCTCGACAGCTTGCCACAACTTGGTAAGCAGCCCTCTGCCCAAAATAATTGCCTGCCCTTGCCCTAGTATGTATGCAAGACTTATACTTGCTCTGTCCCTGACCTTGACCCAGCCCAGTCCTGGCGAGTGAGAGGAACCAAGAATATATCCCCTAGCTCCTTGTGGCAGTGAAAAAGGAGTGCCCAGTGCTGCAAAACTGCCACAAAACAAACTAAACCCTGCAGTGCTGAAAATGAGGTCTTTGGCCTTAAAGGGACAGTGCAAGGAAGATACAATAAGACATAACACACCTTCCCCCTACGCAGAATAGTCAGCCAACCATTTGGGAGGGCTCCACTTCTGCTGTGGTCTTTCTGTAGAGCCTGACTCAGTGAGGGGTTCAGCAAATGATCCTGTCAGCCTATCACAAGAATCAACAGCAATGCTTCCTTCTCATGGTATGAAAAAGGGTTTGAGCTGGTGGAAACAGGTAGGCACTTGCCCAGTGACTACATATCTGTTGGTGGTGGACTGGTGCCTGGAGACTGTTCAGGTGTAGAGTTATTAGTAGGAGAATGTCCACGCAGCTGGTCCACATGAAGTCTCCAAACTCGTCCATCATCAGTCTGGACTGTATATGATATGGGTCCTGCGATGCTTACTATTTGAGATTGAACCCACTGTGGGTCTGTCCCATAGTACCGAGCAAACAGAGTCTCTTGTGGAAACAAAAACACATAAGGTACCAGATGCCAATGAAGAGTCCAGCTTTTTTTCTTTCCTGAACTGCATGCATCTCACAAGGTCTGGATTAACACAGTCAAGGCATGCCTTGAGATGATGACCCATAAGAAGCTCTGATGGGCTGGACCCTGTTGTAGGCAAGAAATTACATGTTGAGCAAATAGAATTCTGGCCAGTCTGGTAGGCCAGTCTCCTGTAACAATCCTTTTCAATGCATCTTTTGTGGTCTGCACCATTCACTCAGCTTGCCCTTTGGCCTGGGGCCTGTGAGGTCTAATGGTAACAGTTCAAATGAGGTTGAGGCTGGTAAAGTTTTGGAACTCTGCTGAAGTGAATGTGCTGCCATTATCAGAAACAATATTTTCGGGCACACCATGGGTTATGAACAGCTGATGGAGAGCTGTTATAGTGGCAGTTGATGTAGAGGTTATGACAATAATCACTTCAAGCCAGTTTGAATATGAGTCAACCACAATTAAGAAGTTCTTACCTTGGAAAGGGCCAGCAAAATCAATGTGGATGCGTGACCAGGGTTCCTTTGTCATTTCCCAGAAAAATACTGGTGCCTTTGGTGAATGATAACGGGTTGCATGACAAATACTGCAGTCCCCTTCCAACACTTTCTATGGCATTGTCCATACCTGGCCACAATGTATAACTTCTAGCCAGTGCTTTCATCCTCATAATGCCTGGGTGTGCTGCATGCAGTGTTGTTAGTATGTTTTGGTGCCCTGCTTCTCAGATTATGACACGATTTCCCCACAAGAGACACCCCTTGTGGGCAGGCAGCTCATGTTGCCATGATGAAAATGGCCTGAATTTCTCAGCCGATTTGTCTGCAGGCCATCCCCTCCATACCCAGTTGAGGACACAGGCAAGGATAGGGTCTTTTGCAGTCATCCTTGCTAACTGATTAACTTGCAGAAGGGCTTCTGGCATGGGTTCCAGCATAAGGACTTCTGCTGGTGGAGGAGTTGCACAATAAGGTATTTGTAGTGGTAGGCGGCTCAGTGCATCAGCATTTGCAGTCATTTTTCCAGGTTGTGTATGAGTGTATAGTCAAATGCATTTAGCACGATGCTCCAACTTTGCATAGGGGGAGACAGAATACGAGGAGTTGGTTTGTCCACAGTAAAAATTTCAAGAAGGGGTTTGTGGTCCATTCAGATTTCAAATTTGCAGTCATAAATATAATTGTGATTTTTTATTTTTTTTTTTACTTCTGCAATGATTGCCAATGCTTCTTTATCAATCTGTGCATAGTTCCTCTTGGTTGAAGTCATTGTTCTTAAGTAAAAAGTAACGGGTGCATCTGTGCCATCAGGCAGTGTGTGACTGAGGACAACACCAACACCAAATGGCAAGGCATCACAAGTAATGGACAGTGGCTTCTGCTCATCATAGTGAACAAGGACAGAGTCTGATGTCAGCAACTTCTTGATGCCCTGGAAACCCTCTTTGTGCTGGTAAGTTCATTTCCACTGAGCTCCTTTATTCAATAAATGATGAAAGGGCTCTGCTATGGTGGCTTTGTCTTTCAAGATGTGACAAAAATTGAGAAGTCCTAGGAATGGCTGAAGATCTTGTCTGCATTTTGGTATAGGGGCATCATGTATTGCTTTTGTCTCATCTTCAACTGGGTGAATGCCAGAAGCATCAAACTGATATCCCATAAAATTGATACTGGAAACTCCCAATTGACATTTCTCTCATTTTTCTCTGATACCTGCTATATCGACTCTCTATAAAACTTCTGAGTCTCTCAGTGAGTTTCTCTTGAGACAGGCCCATGATCAACACATCAACGTATGGAGCAACCCCAGGAATTCCTGCTAGCATTTTCTCCATGAAACACTGGAAAATTCCTGGTGCCACAGAAATTCCAAACTAGAGGAACTTGACATGGAATGCTCTCCAATGTGTAATTATTGTTTGGGCCTGAGAAGCCTTGTCGTCCACTATCAATTGCCTCAATTTTTGGCGAAAAGGGCAAAAGGTATATTCTGAGCCTTCATGCAGATAGGGGCTATCGCAGGATCCATTTGGAACATGGCAGGTGGACTTGAGCAAGTTCCTAATTCCTTAGAGAATACCTGGGGAAACTCCCTTGCAAGCTTTTCCAGACCTTCTGTGCGGAGACTGTGTACGCCTTGAATACTGATTCCCAATGACGAGAACTAGGGCTTTGCGAAGCTTCAGTCGCTGATTCAATTCAGTGGAGATTCAGCCCGATTAGGCAGCTGAATCTCTGAATCTGAATTGAATCAGGAGACCCTTTAATTTCTCTGAATAGAATTGGAACCCTATGAATCGATCCAGAGAGATTCGATGATTCGGACATAGGCACTGCTTTAAATGTTTTTTCTACATACCACAAGGTACCAGGCAGTTCATAAACTTTGAGATGCTCGAGCATTCCCCCCCCCCCCCCCCCCTGGGACAGTGATTCAAATCAATTAATTGAATTAATGTCCCCTTGTAGCATGAACTGAACTAATGTAGCTGATGTTAACATAGTGTAATAATAGTAAAATATAACCATGTTATTCTTGTCCTGTAAGCAACTTGAAAACTCCATTTTGTATCCTTCTGCTTGACGTAAGGGAATGAACTCTGCATTGCCTTTATGTATGAGTGTGTGTAAAAGGGTGAATGGTGAGACAATGGCATAAAGATGGGAGAAGATGATTTAACTGTTTATGTAAGCAACAAGGTGCCAAATGTAAGTTACCAGTCAGTAACTAACTAACAAATGGCTGAAGAATCCCTTTGAAGCTCGAGGGTACAAAGAAGATAACAAGGAGAAGAAATGCACCCATCCTGCCAGACAGGCAGCAAAAATACTGCAAAGCTAAAATAAGCTGAAGACAGAAGTAGAGCAACCGCAAAAACAGAAGCTGGGTATGGAAAAACCCCAAAG